GTTGCATCTCTGGTGTCTAAGGATAGATGTTCTCTCAGGTATGAAGCTCTTAACTCGAAAACTCGGCTCCATTTGAGCCACCTCCGGAGCTCGGGACGCAGCCCAAGTGCCTGGGTGGATGTAACACCAAGAGATGCACACCTCTAAGTATATACACGCAAAGATGCACACACCTCTTTCAATGCATATACACAGAAATAAACATCACTTGACGTGTAATATTCCTGGAATTGGCACTCGTTATTACCACAGATAATTACACAGAACCAGAGAGTTTCTAGTTAGTGAGATCCCTGACTCATGTGCTCCTTGGCACATGTTCCTTGGCACACACCTCCGTCCTGACCTCACATGGTCACATTCGCATCTCACGACGACTCGTCACCTTCTCTCTTGACTGTATATATATATATATATATATATATATATATATATATATATATATATATATATATATATATATATATATATATATATATATATATATATATGTGTGTGTGTGTGTGTGTGTGTGTGTGTGTCGTGCCGAATATGTAAAACTGGTCAATTAGCAAGAACTCATTTAAAATTAAGCCTTTTCTAAAATTTTCTCTTATACGTTTAAAGATATATTTTTTTCATTAATGTTGATGTAAAAATTTATAATTTTGCACCAAAAGGAACTTAGAAAACTTACCTAACCTTATTATAACAAGCGCAATTTATTTTAGCCTAACCCAACTAAATATATTTTAGATTTGTTTACAGTAATTTAATACTGAACAAACACAGTGAAATATATTTTTTTTCGTTAGGTTCAGAATGATTTTGGCGAAATTATTGCATACACAAATTTTCACTTGTCCTATATGGCAAGATGAGCGTTGCTATTTAAGCCAAGATCGCAAGTTCTGCCTATTCGGCACGACATATATATATATATATATTATATATATATATATATATATATATATATATATATATATATATATATATATATATATATATATATATATAATACATATATATATCTATATATATATATATATATATATATATATATATATATATATATATATATATATTATATATATATATATATATATATATATATATATATATATATTCTTACCATGCATTATGTATAGACTTGAAAAATGTCCAAGCGAAACGTTAGGTTAATGGTTTCCATTTTTCCATAGCATAGAATCTTTTTTTTATCAGATGGTTGGTTTTAAAACCTTTTTCTCATCTCTTACAAGATTATTGGGCAAATCGGCGAGGAGCGCAGAGTGATATACGTTAAGCCATCTTCTAGAGATACGGAATTGATTTCCCTCTTTTCAGTGCATTCCTGAATTCACGAAGGGTAATGCCATAGTCATCATCCTTATCTCATTACAGACATTTAAAACTATAACCTTTCTGTCGATAGCGGTCCTACATATTTTGGGACAGACTGTACATACTGAATGCCGCCTAAGAATAGTGACATACGGAAGTTTTCAGTATTAGTTATACAACCGCCGATTAGAGTCTCTAAACTCATGATTTGTTCATTATTTGTGATGAATCACCGGTTGTTTTGTGATAAAGTTTGTAAACCTGTAGATCCTAAAAAATAATAGGTGGGACGGTAATACAGCGTGAAAGAGCGTCGCAAGTTCTCCATAATTTAAGAATGTTGTATTCGATTACCACGATAACCATAATGATGTGTGGTGTAGGGAAGTTGCTATGTGTTGTAATGGAGTGCATGATTTAGCTGCAGCTGAGGCACAGTATAATCGCTATTGTGATGAGTTTAGGACAATCTCTGTGCATGAAGAATTAAGACACTTATGCAACATATGGGAATCTTTACTGAAGAAACGTTTCGCCACACAGTGGCTTCATCAGTCCTATACAAAGCAGGAAGGTATAAGGAGAGGAGGAGTTTGAGATAATCAGTCCCTCAGCCTGGAGTCGACGTGTTCAGTCCATCAATCTTGTAGAAAGTACAACGTAGGGCCGTAGACGTGGCTTATATATTGTAGTCAGGTGAGACGAAGCAGGAGGAAGCGGGGTCACAGTGGAACCATCCACTATATTTCTTCAATAAAGATTCCCATATGTTGCATAAGTGTCTTAATTCTTCAACTTGTCGGTTTTCAAAACCATTCATCAAATCTCTGTGCATGCTGACCAGACCTCAGTGATTGATGATTCAATTGCTTGTTGATGAGATGCATGCAAATCGAAAGATTTGTCTTTGACATCCATTGAATTGTATGATAAACATGTGAGTTACTGTGATAAATAATAAACTATTTCTATAAAGTACAATTTACAAGTTACAAGTGATTCAGGAAAGCCGACATTACTGACATACTTTATAGAAAGCCCCTGGTTATGCAGAGCATTTCGGGCAGGCATAACATAAATTTATAACTGCTGAATGAATAATTAAATTGATTTACAAAAAATATTGAAGCTTACAGTCTTTGACAGTAATTCTAACGCTTTGGTTTACGATTATGACATTTTTGGATTTTGGGGGGCAAAATGCTTTTTAGAATTGCTTTGTGAAACAGTTTGTAAAACGTTCGTAGCTGTTATTACAAATGTTGGTCAAATACAAATGCAAATATTAATCTATGTTTCAGTATTACTGCACAGGCCATACAATAATGGTGGCCAGTGGGCACATAGGTAACTGTTTATCAAGCTGGTTACCCATTTGAGTGATAATATGGTTCTTCATATGGAGAGTTGTGCATCCATTGTTGATGAGAACGAATAGGATGTTTTAGTGAGAAAGATCACAACCGAGGTACGTGGTATTCCATTCAACAATAAAAATTATGATGTTGATGATTTCACTTTTGCCAAAATAAAGCAACAAGTTAATGGTGAAGTCACAAAGCACCAGGGACAACAAGAACGACCCCTGTCATCGACCTTGAAAAAAAAAAAATTAAGACTCCTTGTGACTGTTCACCCATGAGCTGTGTGTGTAGCGCCTCCATCGATCATTAATGAACAAAGTCTCCGGAAAGGTAACAAATCAGCGTTTAGCAAGCGCCTTGGTGTGCTCAAGGCCTCATCAACAGCTGCTGACATTGTCATCGTCGATGTTCAACAACTGTTCTACCATATCGTGTGACCACACGGTGACAGTCCCTCAGATCTGATCACATTCATCAAGGGTCGTCTGAGCCGCTATCTTTGACAAGTACTAGTACGAAAGAGTGCGACGAGCTAAGTACCCATCTACGAGGTGTCAATCACCAGTCCTCAGCCCAGAAGAGATGCAATCCAGAAGAGCAAGGACAACAAGCGGAGGCTGGCGAGTGTGTTGTCTACCTTCAATCTAGAAGAGAATGTGAGAATGAGGATACAGGATGACAGCGCGTTTGGTCATGAGGCGTACGTCACTATCATATCCTATGTCCTCGAGTCTGTGAATTCTGGCAATGGCATGATCCTCGTATTTAGCGACGACACAGATGTGTTTGTCCTACTGGTCCATCTGGTGTATAGGAATGAGCTGGAGTGGAAGGTGCAGATAGAGCAGTAGGATGAGAGAGTGCTGGATATCAACGTCACTTGCACTAGCTTAGGGCCCAAGTACCTGCAGCTGCTGGACATGCATGCCCTAAGTGGGTGTGATACGACCTCATTTCCATATGCCAAAAGCACATGGATATGAGGCGTACTTTCCAGGTTTGTATAATGTGGGTGGTGGGCGCCACACTAACAGAACTCATGGAAGTGGCAAAAACTTTCTTCATAGCTCTGTACTGCCAACCGCCGGGGACATCTATGGAATCCGCTCACTGTATACTCTTCACCGAGAAGAAAAATAAAAAAATCATGGAGATGCCTCCAACAACCTGTTCCTACATGTGTTGCGGACCCATCTGCAGGTCTCGTAGGTCAGATGGTAGCCCACTCAGCTCACACGTTGAAGTCTGGGTGGAAACACTGGGGCGTTTCCTTAAAACATCTGTCCATGTTCACCACCTAGCAGTAAATAGGTACATGGGTGTTAGCCAACTGGTGTGGGTTGCATCCCGAGAACAAAATTAACCTAATTTGCTCCAAATGTTCTGTATAACAGGGGCTTTCTATATAGTATGTCACTAATGTCAGCTAGGTCTATATACGTTGTATAGAAATAAAGATTATTATTACATTATTATTATTATTATTATTATTATTATTATTATTATGCTGCGGTAAGCGGCAGACCAGCAAACCCCGCCCGATGAGTCTGCTGCTATCACTCCGGACGAAAGATCGAAGATGGTATACCGGCTCCTGTCATTGCTGATAATGCTGAGTGACCCAGTTCTACCAGAGCAGACTGACGTGATATATTGTCAGTGTAAAGCACAGGAGAGGGAGTGTAACATTATGGCCTATGACTGTCACAAAGAACATCTTTTGTGCATGTCGTACTGCAACTGCTCTGGCGATGACAACTGCTGCAAGCCATACACTTCCGCTAATAGCATAGCACTGTATAAGATGTGATTAAGTGTTTCACATATCGCTCATTGTTATTTTTCTCACAAACAGATGTGTAAAATATGGTATGGGTATTCATGTTTTTCATTAATAAGATAAATTAACATTTAGTTGAATTTTCCATTCATTTTCTACCGAGAGTTTAAAGTTGACCCTGACCTGATCTCGACCTTTAATTGAAAAGAAAATAACTTTAGAAATCGATTCTACATACCTTAAACCCTATATTATACATCATTCTAGGAAAGTGGTTCAAAAGTTAAATCTTTAAGATAGCGACTAGTGGCTATCTTGGATTTATACAAAATACCAGAGTTGTCCAGAGACAAAGTTTGGGTTACCAACTTTAAGTTATTGTTGGCCTCCACAGGAGTACAAATCCACCAAAAAATCTTCATAGAATAAAGCGTTATTAGGTTTATGAAATGACAAATGAAATATAGTATGATTGATTTCCAATAAAATATTCTTGCTAAATTACCCCAGGAGTGAGTACCAGAGAAAACGGTAGTGCTGCCACAGTAACTAAGCGACCTTCTGACGCGTCAAAACAACATCCGTCATAGTGGTCGCTAATTTTGTGCTCTGCACTCACTACCACTCTAAACCTGGGGATTACCCTCAAGCCTTAGTTACGCCCAGTCATCATCATCAACCCTCGCCCTCCTAATATCGCTGCACGCCTTTGCATCGCAACTTGCGCAGTCATCGAAAGATAAACATTCCTGTTCGCTATACGTATCGTAAACTTGTGCAGGAATTTCACTTTCTTCTGCCCCCTGCATGATCTCTGCAACTGTCTTGTAAGACACCTTGGTGCAATGACCAGCTTGGTGTACAAGTTCCGCTGCAACTTATTGGGTCACTCGAAGGATGTGCGGGCAGTGGCCACCACCCAGGAAGGCCTCATTGTTACAGCTTCTAGAGATAATACAGCAAAATTATGGGCGCCTGTAGATAATGGGTGAGCTATTTTCCTGTTATACTGGGCGTGGGGATTTTTTTTTTAAACCCATTCGCTTAATGCCAGGTTTCTTTCCTTGAAAAATATTGTCTTCCTTAAATTAAAAAACATGTTACTTAGATATAATTAGGTGGAATGTTTGACTGTGGAGTCATCCTTGGTTAAATCTCCACATGTCAGGTAAATGAAGACATGTGCAGCTAATATTTGGTATCCTGTAGCTCTGTTGGTACCACACTCAGCTCACACATTCAGGTCTGTGGTTTGAACCCCCAGCACTGGTGAAAACATTAGGATGTGTTTCCTTAAGACACCTGCTATCCCTGTTCACATCAGTAAATAGGTACCTGGGTGTTAGCTGACTGGTGTGGGTCTCATCCTGGGGGACAAAGTTAACCTTCTGCATAACCAGGGGCTTTCTATATAATATGTCATTGATGTTAGCCAGGACTGTATAAGTTGTATAATGTACTTGTAGAAATAACTATTATTATTATTGTATTATAATAAAATATTTACTGTGGCTATGTTTGGTCACTGGGAACTTTGTGAAGCCAATAGAAACGCTACATGTACACTGACATTACCATTACTTCCACTACTGCTGCTGCTACTATTATATCCATATCTAGTGATTGACTTGACAATTTATGGCAGGTTTAATGGACACACTAGTGTTTATCATCTGATATTGTTAAATATTTTCTCTGCTTATTTTTGTCATTAGGGAATTTGCTATGTTGCTTTTGACTGCTTGGGTTTATATTATGTTAATGGTATACAGAAATAACAAGTAAATGAATGAGACATGTGTTACACTTGGGTATCTTAAATGTGGAGACTTCACCAACCAGCAGCTTTATCAATCCAAGGTAATTTTACTAAATTCAGATTTAGGAGACCTCCTGACCTATCAGTGATCCGGTAGCATTGGTGAGGTCACTGCTATTCATCAATGGTTACTAACCCTCTGGGTTAATAAACCCAGAGGGTTTGTCTGAGAGAAAGACACTAACATGCTCTTCCTGAATGCTGTCTAACCTAGTTAGCAATGACTCACAACCTTAACTTACTTGCCACTGTCAAAATGTTTCCTGTCACTATTATCTTTGTACAGTGACAAGTCACCTAGTAACAGTTATGCTGTTGTACAAGTGCAGCAACCTTATATGAATTGCTACAATGCTATATAAAAAAATTTGTTTCAATATTGGTTTTGGTTTTGTTTGCCATACTGTTTTAAAAAAGTGCTGTTACTTTTTTTTTCAATAAAATCACTTTCCTTCCTCTTCCCTTTGCCTAAAACTGGGTAGCCATTACTTGGTTAGGGAAATACTGGATTATTTTCTTGTGACTCTTCAAATCAGTCATAAGTGAAAGGCCATCAATTTCTTCTGTTTAACCCATTCAGGGGTCCAGACCCCCCCCCCATCTAAAATTTGTCCACAGAATCCAAGAATTAAAAAAAAAAAAATTCTTATTAAATGGAAGAGAGACTTTTTCTGAAGGTAATAAAGCAAAAATACAAAACTTAATGGAAAATTGATGAAATTTCAACATCACAAATATTGCTGCATCAGCAATATTTACACATCAGCAGTTTTCTCACTTTGAGACCTATTTTAGGCCAGTTACAATGCTCCAGTCAACCAAATTATTAGCTATTTCGCTAGTATGCCTTCCATTTTATTGACAGCACAAGAAACTGTCCGGTCAATTGTTTCAACTAAGTAAAGTGATCAGAAATTGGTAATTTGGCTGGTTTCACACAAATTTTTGAATATTGCAGTTTCAGAATAGCATCCAAAATAAACAGTGCAGGCATTCCTGGCACTAAAATAACAGTTCCTCTGTTCATTAGTTATGTTCCCAGGCTTTACATATGAATTCCATTTTGATTTTTTATTCACACAAAAAAAATAGATTTACTGTTTGCAATACAGCCTCTCCTCACTTAACGATGGAGTTCTGCTCCTAAGACCATGTTGCTAAATGAACTTGTCACTAAGCAAGGAGTATACTATAATGGTAGTGGGTTTGTGTCAGCCACCTTTCATGTTGTTTTAATGTCGCCTTTGCACCATTTATAACATTTTTAGTATATTTTTAAATGTTTATACAGTAGTGTGCTGTACAGGTACCATCCAGCTTATGACAGTTCAGTTCTGACAAACCGGTCGTGAGTCGAAATGGACATAAATCAAACCTTACTACTGAATATCAACATCACATTTTTGTAATGACTTTATTTTAATGTTTTATTTTGGAATTTCATTTTTTACTTTACTTTTTATCCTGTTAGTACTGTATTTTATACTGTAAGGTTTAGGATAAACACTGTGTACAACACAAGCAGTTGTTTATTTCCCAGAAATTTGGCATGGAAAACACGGTCGTAAGTCGAATGGTCGTACGTCGAGCAGGTTGTAAGTCGGATGGTAGGTGTATATTGAAATAAACGGAATAGAGGAAATCAGCTCTAATATACATTATTTAGGTATGCATACTGGTCAGAGAGCCCGTCGTAAGTCTGAGTTGTTGGTAAGCAAGTACATCGCTAAGTGAGGAGAGGCTGTATTGTAAGAATTGTATAAATAATATCAATACCTTCATGAATGCATATTAGACCCACCAGTTGACATGCATTGGACACACGATGTGATTTGTTTACTCTTGAACATCGGCAATAATTGAACGTTTCCCCTACTTTGAGCTCAATTTCAAGATATTTTCAGTCCTGAAACCAATGAAAATCATCTCTATTTCTGTAATATAGCTTCCATTCTATCAAAAGAGACCAATACAACCATAAAAAACATGTGCAAGATTTCTTCTCATTTATAATGTCCCTTAGCTTTGGTCTTTTTTCTTTTTTTCCAGGCTATTCTAGCCATATTTGTACACTTTAAAATCTGTATATTGTATATAAGTTTTTTTTTTTTTTCCTGTTTCTGGTTTAGCTTGATTTTGTTTTTATATTTGGTTTATTAGTCTGATCAGTTATTTGGTAAATAATCTTTTGACTGATATATTTGATTATGAACCAGTAATCCAGGGAAAAGACCTTACAAGAGGAAGAATCTGGCCAGTCAGAGTGATTTTCAAGGCAGAATCAGCTCGAAACAGGATCCTGCAGGAGAAATCAAGACTAAGGGACATGCCGACATACCAGAAGGTGATTCTTGACCGTGACAGAACATGAGAAGAAAGGCAGAAACTGAAAGAAAGGGTACAAAGACGAAAGAAGGAGAGAGAGGTGAAGATGGAGATAGACAGAACCCAGACTCAGGAGGAGGATCAAATACAACTTCCCTCACAACTACCTACAGAAGCCCCCCAACCAGGACAACCCCAATGCAACCAAACATTCTAACCCAAAAAACACATGCCATACCCAATACCCCCACCCACCTCATTACAAACTCCACCTTCACAGCAACCACCCAGACCACAGTTTTAGAAAAGAAGTTGAAGGTTTGGTATACAAATGCAGACAGAATAACAAATAAGTGAGGAGTGGCATGAAAGAATCAAGGAGACATCCCCAGACATAATAGCACTCACAGAAGTGAAACTCACCAGAATGATAACAGATGCAATCTTTCCACTTGGCTATGAAATCCTCAGGAAAGGTAGAGGGAAGAGAGGGGGAGGAGGAGTTGCAATGCTCATAAAAAATCGGTGGAGATTCAAGGAAATGGAAGGAATAGATGGAATGGGCAAAAGGGACTACACAGTATGAGCACTCCAGTCTGAGGGCCATAAAGTGATAATTGCAGTTATGTACAACCCGCCACAGAACTGCAGGAGGCCAAGAGAGGAATACAACGAGACCAACAAAGCATTGGTAGACACACTAGCTGAGGTGGCCAGAAGAGCTCACATGGGCAGAGCAAAGTTACTAGTTATGGGTGACTTCAATCACAAGGAGATTGACTGGGAAAATGTGGAGCCCGATGGGGGTCCTGAATCATGGAGAGCCAAGATGATGGATGTGGTACTGGAAAACCTCATGCATCAACATGTTAGAAACACTACCATAGAGAGAGGTGGGGACGATCCAGCAAGACTGGACCTAGTATTCACCTTGAGTAGTTCGGACGTCGAGGATATCACGTACAAAAGGCCCCTTGGAGCTAGTGATCATGTGGTTCTGCACTTTGATTACATAATTGACCTACAAGTAGAAAGGGTAGCAGGAATAGGACGGGAAAAACCAAATTACAAAAGGGGGGACTACACAGGCATGAAGAACTTCCTGCAAGATGTTCAGTGGGAGAGAGAATTGGCAGGAAAACCAGTAACAGAAATGATGGACTATGTGACAACAAAATGTAAGGAGGCAGAGAAGAGGTTTGTTCCCAAAGGAAACAGAAATATTAGGAAAACCAGAACGAATCCTTGGTTCACCCAAAGGTGTAGGGAGGCGAAAACTAAGTGTGCTAGAGAGTGGAAAAGGTACAGAAGACAAAGGACCCAGGAAAATAAAGAGATTAGCCGAAGAGCCAAAAACGAATATGAACAGATAAGAAGGAAGGCTTAGCAACAATACGAAAATGACATAGCATCGAAAGTCAAGTCTGACCTGAAGCTGTTGTATAGACACAAAAGGAGGAAAACAACAGTCAAGGACCAGGTAATCAGGCTGAGGAAGGAAGGTGGGAAGTTCACAAGACATGACAAAGAGGTATGTGAGGGGCTCAACGTGAGATTTAAAAAAATATTTACATTAGAGACAGGAAGGACTCCAGGAATTCAGAATAGAGAGGTACACCAACAAGTGCTGGATGAAATACAACTAAGGAGGAGGTGAAGAAGCTGCTATATGAACTTGATACCTCAAAGGCGGTGGGACCAGACAACATCTCTCCGTGGGTCCTTAGAGAGTGAGCAGAGATGCTGTGTGTGCCACTAATGAAGATCTTCAACACATCCATTGAAACTGGGCAACTATCTGAGGTATGGAAGATGGCAAATGTAGTCCCAATTTTTAAGAAAGGAGACAGACACGAGGCATTAAACTACAGTCCTGTGTCACTGACATGTATATTATGCAAAGTCATTGAGAAGATCGTCAGGAGGAGAATGGTAGAGCCCCTAGAGAGACACAAGTTTATAAACGACAGCCAGAATGGTTTCAGGGAAGGAAAATCTTGTGTCACAAACCTACTGGAGTTTTATGAGAAGGTAACAGAAGTAAGACACGAGAGAGAGGGGTGGATAGACTTTATTTTCTTGGACTGCAAGAAGGCCTTCGACACAGTTCCTCATAAGAGGTTAATGCAAAAGCTAGAGGATCAGGCACACATAACAGGAAAGGCACTGCAGTAGATCAGAGAATATCTGACAGGGAGGCAACAAAGAGTCATGGTACATGATGAGGTGTCAGAGTGGATGCCTGTGATGAGCTGGGTTCCACAGGGGTCAGTCCTAGGATCTGTGCTGTTTTTGGTACCCATGACACCAATCATACCCATCCCCTCCCACTCATATATTTGTCCAATCTCTCTTTAAAGCTACCCAAGGTTCTATCGAAGCTAAAATCCTAGATAGTTTCAAATTTAGGTTGGATAAATACATGAGTGAGAGGGGTTAGATTTGGTGGGACTTGCACATGAGTAAATAGGATTATTGAAGTTTATTGCTTGGGTAGCATTGAAAATTGAGTTGGGCAAATATTCTGTTAGTCATGGGATGGATTGTGAGGGACCTGCCTAGTATGGGCCAACAGGCGTGCTGCAGTGTATTGTTATTAGTATGCATGCATTATAATAATAATAATAATAATAATAATATTGTTATTATTATTATTAATTTAGGGAAGTGGAGCACAGATCCAATTCCCTTGATCAAGAGCCCCTCACCAAGGAACCTCCCTTGAAGGGGAAGTTCGCATCCTGAAATTTCGTTTGTATCCAGAAGCGAAAAATCGATCGAGTGACTGTTTGTATCCTGAAAAATTTGCATGGTGGGGCATTTGTAAGCCGAGGTTCCACTGTACAGTACACTGCTGTGTAAACATTTAAAAATATACCAGAAATGTTATAAATGGTGTAAAGGTGACATTAACACAATATCAGAGATGGTTGACACAAATCCACTACCATTATAGTATGCTCCTTGTTTAGCGACGAATTCGTTTACCAACGGGATCTTAAGTCCCTATTTCCGTTGTTTAGTGGGGAGAGGCTGTATATGCATGGACATGCATGTGTAGTGTGACCTAAGTGTAGTAGAGGTAGCAATACAGCCTCTCCTCACTTAGCAACGTGCTCGTTTACCAACGACTCAGACTTACGACGGGCTCTCTGACCAGTATGCATGCTTAAATAATGTATATTAGAGCTGATTTCCTCTATTCTGTTTATTACAATATACACTATGCTACTGTATAAACATTTAAAAAATGCTAAAAATGTTATAAATGGTGCAGAGGTGATGCATAAAATAATGTCAAAGATGGTTGACACAAACCCACTACTATAAGCCCCTTGCTTAACGATGAATTCGTTTACCGATGAGATCTTAGGAACAGAACTCTGTCATTAAGTGAGGAGAGGCTGTATATACCTGTTATTTTTCGTGTTTATGAGACAGAAAAGAGACACCAGCAATTCTCCCATCATGTAAAACAATTACAGGTTTCTATTTCACACTCACTGGGCAGGACAGTAGTACCTCCCTGGGTGGTTGCTGTCTACCAACCTACTACTTAGGTTTTATGTCTATATATTGTTATCTTATATTTTCAGAACTGAATATGCAGAAAAACAGGTATACAGTGGCCATTCTTCATATGTTACAAGTGTGTGTATAGTGCCAGGCAACTGTGACCATCCTGAAGGTCTGGTCGCAACGGGATCCAGGGACACTACTATATTAATATTTTCACTGAATGGTGGACAACCTTTACACACGCTCACTGGTCATTCAGATACAGGTACAGTATATTGCAATATTGTTTATAAAAGCATTTCTGTTGTAGTTGACAAAAACACAAGCAGTAACCATAGAGTGTATTCAAATGATGTTCCACCTACACAGTAGACTTTTTACAAGTCTAACATGGAAAATCCTACTGCGCAGGCAAAATGTTGTCTAAATAAAGTTTCCAGTTATTGCTTATGTTTCTTTATCAACTTCAACTTGGCAGTATTACCATGCTATCTACTAGTGTAAAGTCGCTCCTCTGTTCAGCACTTACATTGTTTGTAGAGTGATTTGTTGATCAAGTCTACTTGTCTGTCTGTTACACAATTGTGGGTTACTGTATTTTTCATTTATAAAGTAATTCATCATATATAGTACTTCTCCTCTGGAAAGGAGAGTGTAGTAACCTTATGAATGTTTTACCTGATTGTTCACTTCATTTACAAATTAACATTGTTACCAGCATTTATCCTTTATTCAGCTTTGGCATAAGTCGTATGTAATACTGACACAATATAAGTAAAAAACAACCAAGCAGTATGGAAATTTTAATTAGATGGTGTTTCACTGGGATATTGAGTTTATCACATCTCATTTAATAAAGATTGGTGTCCAAGCAAAATGTCATCTGTTAATTAAGTTTACTTATTGCTTGACTGTCTTTTGCTTATATTCACTCTAATTTTTTGTGGTTTTGCAGTGATAACTTCTAAATAAGAATACTGTGTGTGTATAATTATGACTAAAATGGTCATCTCGTGTGATTACCTGTTTATTACCTGTCTGCAAGGGCTTGCATCCAACAAGCATGCGTGAGCATGTTAGGTAGGAGTGAGTGGAGGCAAGTGGTTGTCATGACTTGACGTGGTGTTAGAATGTGAACAAGGTAACATGAAGGGATTCAGGGAAACCAGTTAGACTTGAGTCCTAGATGTGGGGAGTACAGTGCTTGCATTCTGAAGGAGGGGTGAAGATATTGCAGTTTGGAGGGTACAGTATCTGAGCTGGGATGTCAGTGCACCTCTGGCAAGACAGTAATGGAGTGAGTGATGGTGAAAGTGTTTATTCTCATTTAAGGGTCATCCTATCTTGGTGGGAGACGACTAGTGTGTTTAAAAAACATGGGGGTTTGTATGTAAGAAATACATAGTTAAATGGATTTTGTTGCATATACCATAGTTTGAATATTGTATTATTATTATTATTTTTTTTTTTTTTTGACAGTGTCATGCCTTACTTGGGATAGTGGAGTGTTGGTATCAGGCTCCTGGGACAATACTTGCCGTATATGGACCAACTGGGAGTGCAGTTATGAATTAAAGGGGCACAGTGGACCTTTGTGGAGTGTAGCATTTGTTCCTAGCATTGACCAAATTGCCAATCAAAGACCAACCACCATGCTAACTGCTTCAGCTGATAAGACAATAAAGCTATGGATTAATGAAAAGGTGAGATTATGCCACAGGTTCTCCTGTTTAATTTTCCCCTGCACAGTATTAGCTAGTCTGTTTTGCTTTTTCATATACATAGATGTGTATGCAATTTATATTTCTGCACAAATAAATCATTGACTCATATGTCATTCTGATTTTTACCACCATTTTTATACCTTTTATTTCGAATTCCACCTTAATTCTTATTTTTTTGAATATTGTATTCTATATTCTTCATGTTGGATTCAGTTTTTGTTTTCCATTATCTTCCTTAGGTGTATGTGAATTGTACCCACTTTACTAGTTTAATGTTAATTTTATGATGCCACTTGTGTCTGGCAGTTCCATAATTAATAATATATTTCATTTACTCATGTTATTGATGCGTATCGCTTTAATTTCCAGGAATGTAGAACATTCACTGGTCACAAAGACTGTGTCAGAGGTCTGACGGTTTTGAATGCCAAGCATTTCCTGTCTTGCTCCAATGATGCTTCAGTTATATTGTGGGCCATTACAGGAGAGGCTCTTGCTACATATTATGGACATACAAATTTTATTTACTCGTAAGTTACTCTTATTTTTACTAATCTGTTTTGTATCTACCTTGTCCTGAACTTATCAGGATTTCTCTGGTTGGTCATTGACTTTTAATAATAATAATAATAATAATAATAATAACAATACATGTATCTTTATTCACTACAAGTACATGGTAAACAGGCCTAGCTTACATCAATGACATACTACTATATAGAAAGCCCCTTGTTATGCAGAGCATTTCGGGCAAATTGGGTCCTTGTCCCAGGATGCGACCCACACGAATCGACTAATTCCTAGGAACCCATTTTACTGATGGGTGAATATAGACAACCAGTGTAAAGAAACATGCCCAATGTTTCTACCCGTGCTGGGAATTGAACACAGACCCTCGCCGTGTGAAATGAGAGCTTTAGTGACCAAGTAGCTTGAAGATCAAAAAGTTAGTCAAAGCCTTCATGGAACACATTGCTTTCAATCAACCTTGGTTGCATTCCTGGCCATCTCCTCTTCATTGCTGATGATTATAGAAAATGGCACTTTGCAGTTGGATATTGAACATGGAATCACATGGCTATCTCAGAAACACATCTCTGGGTGTGAAAACTGTCAGTCATATTGACAAATGAATATCTTTTAATATCTCTAATACCCTGTTGCTCTCATTCTAGATGCCTTTCTCTGCAAAGGTTCCAGTTTTAATTCAGATACATGCTGTAATCTTTTTATAACTGAAGCTGACTTTTTGCACAAACTGTGCCTCATGCTTAGACTAACCTTCCATAATTCTACCCCTAATCCCAGTACTGTACCTCTACATGTGTTTAGCACTTTTTAATGAATATAATAAAACTTTTCTCCATGGGAGAAGTGGAACAGAATTCTTCCTCCGTAAGCCATGCATGTTGTAAGACAAGACTAACATGACGGGAGCAGGGGACTAGTAACCCCTTCTGTATACATTAATACAGTTAAAAAGAGAAACTTTTGTTTTTCTTTTTGGGCCACCCTGCTTTGATAGGGTACGGCCAGTTTATTAGAAGAAGAAGAAAACTTTTGTGGAAATTTTGAATTTTGTTCTACTGTGAAAAGTCAGATGTTGTTTGAGGAAGATGATTGTTGATGTACAACCTAGAAATGGCAAGTTCTTTAGCAAAGAAAAGTTGTTCTATTAATTTCCCTGAAAACAGTTAAAATTTACGGATGTTTGCTTGCCCTACAACAGCTTATTTGAGTTATTCCAGTCAACTCTTGCTAATATTGTCATTGATCATAACCTGCCAACTTATATTAATAGTATAAAATGCAGAAATGCAAGAATTTTAAAGTGAATTTTTTGCATACAACCTTAGCACTTGTGGTGGATTAAAAATCACCACTCATTGACCTGTTTGGTCATTCCAGCCTTCTGCTTTATAAAGTAATAAAATCTGTCCACCAGCTTATAGTGTTAATTTGGCAGTTAAATCTGCATCTTGTTTAAATTTTCGCTTTATTTTTGTGCCAGTTTTCCATAACTGCCAAATCTTAATATATGTCTTACAGTAGGCATCATAAATATGCATGCATATAAACTACAGTAATCACACAGGTAATGAAAATACTCACCATGAAATATTGTTTTAAAAATAAAATACTGAATAATATATGGGTTACCCAACTAACCTAGTATTTTGTAGGATTACTCTTCTTCTTGATGCACTCTTTGCATTTCCTAGGTACTGATAAAGCTAAAGTATGGAAGATAGGAGAGTCAGTACCCTCCCACACTTGCTTAATGGCAATTGAGAGTTTGGGGATAGTGAACATGCCCATGCCAAGAAGCATACCCTTAATAAGGTTCCACACACACACACTATCAGATTTAAGTTTGGAGCTACCAGGTCAGTCACTGAAGAATGAAATTTCAGTCATATAAAAGCTGCTCTGGCACTTCTTAAAACTGGCAGGTTAATAGTCTGCTAACAGCTTACTTATGTGCATACATATTTATGGGATGTACTTTAATGTGTAGCTTGAAGTCGTTTTTCTGCCCATTGACTGGAAATTGTTTCACCATTTAAATTTTCAGGATAAGTCCCATTAGTGATGGTGGAGCCTTTGTAACTGGAGGAGAAGACAGGACTGTGCGGGTGTGGGATTCAAATGGCATTTGTGTTCAGACTATTCACATGCCTGCTCAATCTGTTTGGGCAGTGGCTGCTCTGCCAAATACAGATATTGTATGTGGATCAAGGTAAGTTAAATGGAGAAAAAATTCAGCATTGACTTGTTAATTGTGCTGAATGTTAAATTATTTTTTTAATTGAGCATGTTAGGAATGGAGGAAATGGTTTTTGGGACTTGATGAGCTGTTGGACTCTGAGCAAGGTAACATTTTGTGAAGAGATTCAGGGAAATCAGTTAGTCAGACTAGAGTCCTGGAGGTGGGAAGTACAGTGCCTGCACTCTGAAGGAGGGATGGGGTTATTTGCAATCTGGAGGAGCATCTGAACTATTGCAGTTCAGATGCTCCTCTAACTTAATTCATTCCAGAAGGCTGTTCGAGTGCCGATCTGTTCGAGTACCGAATGAATTTTTCCCAACCAATTTTCTTTTTGGTTGACTGTTATCACTAATCTTCGTAAGCCCCATAGTGACTTATACAAATAATATGAAAAAAAAATTGAAGAAACACGAAATAGTTTATAGCAAAGTTCTGGTAGGTCATGTTTGTTTGGTTGAGTGCCGAGCAGATGGTCAACTACCAAGCAATTATTTTTTTACTGAACGAAGTGTTTGAATATTGAATTCTTCGAGTAGGGAGCTGTTCAAGTACCAAGGTTCCACTGTGTAGTATTGTCACGCTTCTGGCAAAACGGTGATAGAGTGAATGATGGTGAGTTTCTTTTTTTGGGTCATAGTATCTTGGTGGGAGACAGCCAGTGTGTTAAAAAAAAAAATGTACAGGAGGGCCCCGCTTCACAGCACTTCACTTTATGGTGTTTTGCTATTATGGTGGTATTTAATTATATCCATTCTTCATTTATTTGGACTTTCTACAGTAAATATATTCACCACTCACTATAAGCTAATGATGAAAGTATTGAAAAGTAATGTGCATTTTGTATATCCATTTTTTAGGGCAAACTCTATTGCTCACTTAATATATGATAGTGGTAAATATGTTATCAGTTTTTTATATGCATTTGAAAATGAAACAAGGCTGTTTCACTTTACAGCAATTTTTGCTTTACAGCAGTAATCTGGAATCTAACCTGCTGTATAAACAGGGCCCTCCTGTATAATGTAATTTTTTGGATTTTTAGGTGCTGTACCTTGTGTACAATATTGGAGCAGCTAGATTGTATATTCATGGGAAGCACTAAACCAGTAAGTGTCACTCCTTTCTAACACTCTCACATATTCCTGTTGTATGTCCAAGCCCCTTGCACACAGAACCTCTTTTACCCCTCCATCCTTTCCTAAGATGACCCCTGCCCTCCACTACAGATTTATACACCCTCCAAGTCATCCTATTTTGCTCTATCCTCTCTAAATGACCAAACCACCTCAACAAGCCCTCCTCAGCCCTCTGAATAATACTTTTAGTAACTCCACACCTCCTCTTAATTTCCACACTATGAATACTTTGCATAATATTGATGCCACACATTGCCCTTAGACATGACATCTCTACTGCCTTCAGCCTCCTCCTTGCTGCAACATTCACAACCCATGATTCACACCCTTATAAAAGCGTTGGTACCACTATGTTCTCATACATTCCCTTCTTTGCCTCCATGGATAATGTTCTGTCTCCACAGATACCTCAGTGCACCACCCACCTGTTTTCCTTCTTCATTTCTGTAGTTTACTTCGTTCTTCATAAACCCATCCTCTGACAAATTTACTCACAGATATCTGAACACATTCACTTCTACCATACTCCCTCCCTCTAATCTGATATCCAATTTTCCCTTATCTAAATCAGACTTGATCATTATAAAGGTTGAGGGCCTTAGACTAAGCACAAAGTCTGTCTCCAGCAACTGATAAAGAGTCCATGGTAAAGTTTTTAATGGTCATTAAAAATTTTTGAATGCTTAATTCCTTTTAGGACAGTAGTAATGTGCATAGCTTGATATATTTTTCTTGTTTTTTCCAGTGATGGTATGTGTCGTGTATTCACAAATGTCAAAGAGCGGCAAGCTGATACAGAAGGTCAAAAGGAATTTGAAGAATGTGTTGCTAAATCCACCATGGCTGTGGGTGACCTTGGTGGTATTAAGAAAACTGAACTTCCAGGTAGAGAGATTCTGCTGGCTCCTGGAAAACGTAATGGGCATACTGTGATGGTGCGTGAGGGTGAGAAGGTAAACTGCTATTCCTGGTCAACCTCGGACCAACAATGGACTGCTGTGGGCGAGGTGGTGGGTGGTGCTGGAGGCTCACAGAGTACTTCTGGCAAAGTACTCTTTGAGGGCAAAGAGTATGATTATGTATTTGATGTGGAACTTGATGAAGGTAGTCGCCTTAAACTGCCTTACAACATTTGTGAAGACCCATACTTTGCGGCTCAGCGTTTTATACATAGTCATGAGTTGCCTCAAGAATTTTTGGATCAGGTAGCAACCTTTATTATCAATAATACCAAAGGAATGACTCTGGGGGTGGAGGGTGGCAGTCAGTATGCTGACCCATTTACCGGTGGTTCACGCTACCAGCCGAGTGCTTCTCTTGCATCTGCTTCTCTCGATACTGATCCTTTCACAGGGAGTGGTCGGTATATTCCCAGCTCATCAGGTGGGAGTACTCAAACTGGTCTCTCACTTCAGGGTGCAGTGGGTATTCTTCCTTCTTCTCATTTCTTTCCTCAGTTAATTCCTTTAAAGTTCGAGTCTTGCAATTCTGCAGGTATGCTGTCAAAGTTACTAGAATCCAATTCATTGTTAAGTCCAGAGAAACACCTTAGTAAAGAGATGCTAGAACAGGTGGTTGAAACTGTGTCAAATGCAAAGGATTCAGATCCAAAACTTTTAGCTCCTTTAGAAACTGCTTTGCAATGGCCAGTGGAAAGTGTGTGGCCAGCGCTAGATGTTTTACGGTTGGCTTTACAGTCTGAGCATATGCAAAAAGAATGGCTAGTTAAGGAACGTGGGATAGCATTAATTAATCACCTTATTTCTCTCGTTCGACCACCCTCATCAGCTAATGCTCAACTCCTTTCTCTTCGTTGTTTCACCAACATGGCTGCCCACGAACCAGGACGTTGTGTTTTAACAATGGCATGGGAGCAGGTGGTTTCTGCTACTGTAGAAATATCACCATATCCTAACAAAAATATGGAGATTGCAGCAGCTACAGTACTTCTTAATTACAGCGTAATGTTAGGCACAGCTGCAAATATAGAGAAACAATGTAAAGTTCTGAGCGGTGCTGCTGCAGTAGCCATGTGCTCGAAAGATCCAGAAGCACAATTTCGTGCCCTTGTGGCCATTGGAACATTGCTATACCAGAGTGCTGAATGCCGTTCCTTTGCCGTTTCTCTTGATTTGAAATCGGTTGTTCAAACATTATCAGGGGTTACTTCACCATCTAAAGTAGGGGAATGTGCTGGCCATGTACTCCGGCTCCTTTAGCATTGTTGTAGGAATTTTTAAGTACTTTGTATCATCATCTGTATATGATCTTTTAATACAAAACAATTGCCTTAAATTGATGTAAACTCAAATAAAGTGTATAATTTGAAAGTAGTATTAATATTTAACATAACTGCCCAGATTACAGAATTTAATTAGACTTGAAGTGTGCAAAGTGCCTGAAACGACTGTGTTTAGATATACAGAATAGTGTTCTGGTAAGTGGAACTTTATAAAGAAAAATTAAAACATTGAACCCATTATTATTCACAAATAAGTTTTGATTTTATTTAGTTTCATTCTGCTAAATATTTGTACATCATTATACTGTATTCATAGGGGCTAGTGGTAAACATGTAGGGGTCATATAGCACTTGGAAGGGAAGGAAATCAGGCTCAATCCAACAAAAATTATAGGTTTAACTCCTTGGATCAAGAGCATCAAGACAACTCTTTTAAGGGAAATATTTGTATTGTACTGTCCTGGAAAATATATACAGTATGTAAATCACATACTGTAGTATATATTTTATTATTTTTTTTTATTAACACATTGGCCATTTCCCACCAAGGTAGGATGGCCTGAAAAAGAAAAACTTTCACCGTCATTCACTCCATCACTGCCTTGCCAGAGGCGCACTTACGCTACATTTATAAAACTGCAACATTAACACCCCTCCTTCAGAATGCAGGCACTATACTTCCCAGTTCCAGGACTCAAGTCTGGCCTGCTGGTTTCCCTGAATCCCTTTATATTACCCTGCTCACACTCCAACAGCATGTCAAGTCCTAAAAACTATTTGTCTCCATTTACTCCTATCTAACATACTCACGCATGCTTACTGGAAGTCCAGGCCCCTCACACACAAAACCTCCTTTACCCCCTCCCTCCAGTCTTTCCTAGGCCGACCTCTACTCTGCCTTCCCTCCGCTATAGATTTATACACTCTTGAAGTCATTCTATTTTGTTCATCCTCTCTACATGTCCGAACCACCTCAACAACCCCTCTTCATCCCTCTGGATAATAGTTTTGGTAATCCTGCACCTCCTCCTAATTTCCAAACTACGAATTCTCTGCATTATATTCACACCACACATTGCCCTCAGACACGACATCTCTACTGCCTCCAGCTTTCTCCTTGTTGCAACATTCACCATCTATGCTTCACACCCATATAAAAGCATTGGTATAACTATACTCTCATACATTTCCCTCTTTGCTTCCATGAACAAAATTTTTTGTCTCTATACTCTTCAGTGCACCACTCGCCTTGTTCCTCTCATCAGTTCTATGATTCGCCTCATCTTTCGTAGGCTCACCTGCTGACACATCCACTCCTAAATATCTGAATACATTCACCTCCTCCATACTCTCCTTCCCACTTGATATTCAATCTTTCGTTACCTAATTTTTTTGTTATCCTCATCACCTTACTCTTTCCTATATTCACTTTCAATTTTCTTCTTTTACATACCCTACTAAACTCATCCACCAACCTCTGCAACTTCTCTTCAGAATCTCTCAAAAGCAGTGTCATCAGCAAAGAGCAATTGTGACAACTCCCACTTTGTTTTAGATTCTTTATCTTTTAACCCCAAACTTCTTGCGAACACCCTCGCATTCACTTCTCTTACAACCCCATCTATAAATATATTGAACAACCATGGTGACATCACACATCCTTGTCTAAGGTCTACTTTTACTGGGAAATACATAATTTCCCTCTCTCCTACATACTCTAACCTGAGCCTCACTATCTTTGTAAAAAAAACTTTTCACTGCTTTCAATAACCTGTCTCCCATTCCATACAGTTGCAACATCTGCCACATTGTCCCCCTATCCACCCTGTCATATGCCTTTTTTAAATCCATAAATGCCACAAAAACCTCTTTATCCTTATCTAAATACTGTCCACCTATATGTTTCACTGTAAACACTTGGTCTACACACCCTCTACCCTTCCTAAAGCCTCCTTGTTCATTTGCTATTCTACTCTCCATCTTACTCATGGTTCTTTAAATAATAACTCTACCATACACTTTACTAGGTATACTCAACAGACATATTCCCCTATAATTTTTGCATTCTCTTTTGTCCCCTTTCTCTTTATACAAAGGAACTATGCATGCTCTCTGCCAATCCCTAGGTACCTTACCCTCTTCCATACATTTATTAAATAAAAGCACCAACTGCTCCAAAACTATATCCCCACCTGCTTTTGACATTTCTATCTTTATTCCATCAATCCCAGCTGCTTTACCCCATTTCAGTCTACCCACTGCCTCATGAACTTCCCCCACACTCGCAACTCGTTCCTCCTCACTCCTACAAGATGTTATTCCTCCTTGCCCCATACACAAAGTCACAGCTTCCCTATCTTCATCAACATATAACAGTTCCTAAAAATATTCCCTCCATATTCCCGATACCTCTAACTCTCCATTTAATAACTCTCCTCATCTATTTTTAACAATCAAATAAATTTGTTCCCTAGGCTTCCTCAACTTATTAATCTCACTCCAAAACTTTTTCCTATTTTCAACAAAATTTGTTAATAACATCTCACCCACTCTCATTTGCTCTCTTTTTACATTGCTTCACCACTCTCTTAACCTCTCTCTTCCTCTCCATATACTCCTCCCTCCTTGCATCACTTCTACTTTGTAAAAACCTCTCATATGCTAACTTCTCTCTTACTACTCTCTTTACATCATTCCACCAATCACTCTTCTTCCCTCCCACACCCACTTTCCTGTAACCATAAACTTCTGCTGAACACACTAACACTACATTCTTAAACTTACCCCATACATCTTCAACCCCATTGCCTATACTCTCACTAGCCCATCTATCCTTATTACAAAAAAGTAATTTTTTAAAGATGGTAGGTTTTACTCCTTTTGTAATAAAGAGGCCGGGATACATAAATACACACATTAAAATCAATTAATCTTTAATATAATATAAAAATCAACGATCTTTGGTCTAGAGGTATTTGAACTAACATCTGATAATATATACATGTTACAATAATAAATTAGCATTTTACTAAAATAATAAATAATAATTCGTGACCCTACACAGGGTACAACTCTCTTGACACTACTGTGTCACTATATATATCTCTATACTAAAATAATAAATTAAGTAACATTTAAAATAATAAATTACAATCAACTGCGTTTCTCACGACACTTATCCGAGTTGTGACACTCTTTCTCCACCGTGTCACTTGACACCCTTTTCTCCGTGTAATACACACACTTTCGCAACCGTGTCACACTTGACACCCTTGTCTCTGCGTCACACTACCCGCATAGCGTCTTTGTCGAGGCCAGTCACATGACCCTATTCAATGTACACTACAACCAGGCCATCTTCAGTGTCACACGACACCCTTTTCATCTCAGTGTTCTACTACGGTCCTGTGCATATCTCAGTGTTCCACTCCATCATACTCGCTTAAGTGTCACACTACGGTCCTGGCCCAGTTCAGTGTAACACTCCAACCTTTTCTTCATGTAATGTCCCACTAAACAGCATCAGATGACTCCGGCCCACAGTTGACAAACGTAGGTGGTGAGTCCACAGACATCACCGGTAGTCCAGTAAATACTCTCCAAAGCCGGTTGACACACCGCTAGCCGAACACCATGCTGCAAGCTCACTGAATGCGGCCGTCAAGTAACTAAGGCCAACAGACTCAGTGAGCTGCGGTGAGCGGTTCTTCTAAAGCCAGTAGATGTGTACCATTAGGTGTCCAGGTACCTACTGCTTAGATGCATACCCTGAGGAGTTCAGGTACTTAATGCTCTAAGGCCGGCTCAGCAGTCCCCACAATGGGTTTGATGACGTACCCAGTGGTACTGCCGGCCGGCAGGTTAACTATTTAACCGCTAGTTTGGCAGGGGGCCGTAACAATCCTCCAATAGTTGTTTTTATCTTTCCCTAACTGCCTCCTTCTTTAGCTTATAAACCTTCACCTCTCTCTTACCTGCTGCTTCCATTTTACTTGTATCCCATCTATCTTTTACTCTCACTGTAGCTACAACTAAGAAGTGATCTGATATATCTGTGGCCCCTCTATAAACATGTACATCTTGTAGTCTACCCAACAGTCTTTTATCTACCAATACGTAGTATGTAGTCCAACAAACACTGTCCTTACGCCCTGCATTTTAACTTGTATACTTATTTACCCTCTTTTTCTTAAAATATGTATTACCTATCCTAGGTAGTAGGTTGGTAGACAGCAACCGCCCAGGGAGGTACTACCATCCTGCCAAGTGAGTGTAAAACGAAAGCCTGTAATTGTTTTACACGATGGTAGGATTGCTGGTGTCCATTTTTCTGTCTCACAAACATGCAAGATTTCAGGTACGTCTTGCTACTTCTACTTACACTTAGGTCACACTTCACATACATGTACAAGCATATATATATACACACCCCGCTGGGTTTTCTTCTATTTTCTTACTAGTTTTTGTTGTTGTTTATTTCCTCTTACCTCCATGGGGAAGTGGAACAGAATTCTTCCTCCGTAAGCCATGCATGTTGCAAGAGGGGACTAAAATGCCAGGAGCAAGGGGCTAGTAACCCCTTCTCCTGTATATATTACTAAATGTAAAAGCAGAAACTTTCGTTTTTCCTTTTGGGCCACCCCGCCTCGGTGGGATACGGCCGGTGTGTTAAAAGAAAAAGAAAGAATGTATTGCCTATAACCAAACTCCTTTCTATACAAGGCTTAATCAGAGGGCCCCCAATATCATTTACACCTGGCACCCCAAACTATCACACCCTCTTTAATTGTTTCTCCTACTTTAACATTTAGGTCCCCTACCACAATTACTCTCTCACTTGGTACAAAAGTTCCTACACACTCACTTACCATGTCCCAAAATTTCCCTTTCTCTCCTCTACACTCCTCTCTTCTCCAGGTGCATACACTTATTATGACACTTTTTGCATCCAACCCTTATTTTAATCCACATAATCCTTGAATTTATACATTTATATTCCCTCTTCTCCTTCCATAACTGATCCTTCAACATTATTGCTACCCTTCCTTAGCTCTAACTCTCTTAGATAATCTTGACTTAATCCCATTT